ATGTTAAATACAAAAAATTGTTGTGTGAAAAAAAAAAAAAGACAGACAAAGAATAAGGTTAGCTCAGGATCTAAAAAATAGAAAGATATGTCTATTAATAATTTATTAATCAACACAAATACACTGAGTTAAAAAAAATCCTCCAGCAGCCACCTGTTACTGAATTTCAGCAAAAAGGGATCAGAATATCAGGCATTCCTTGTGTTTTTAAACAGAGTTTTAGGAAAAGGGGATCTAGTGGGATTATTTTATAGTATAACTGTTAGAGATCACTGTCTGATCTGGGTTTGTGCAGCCAGCGCAGAACTCCTCAGTGTAGCAAATACAATGACAGGCAACCTTTCAGGCTTGATTTTAAAGAGGCCGAAAGGAGAAGCCTCATTGAGGCCTTTATAAAGCAATTTCAGCAGCACATTGTTACTGCATGCTTAAATTTGATGATTGTGAGTCTTAAATCATGACTGACCTTTGTCATGTATTCCACAGGAACAACCAAGCACCTGTAATGATAACCTGAGATACATGTGTGATGCTGAACACCTGAGTTAATTTATGTTTTCTTTCTGTTTTTGTTGAACACCTGAGTTAATTTATGTTTTCTTTCTGTTTTTGTTGAACACCTGAGTTAATTTATGTTTTCTTTCTGTTTTTGTAGGTAGTATTAATTATTATTAACTAGTTGGAAGTATGGAAGAATTTTGGTGTACTAATGAATAATAGTGTTATTTCAACATTAGCTATTTGAACATCCAATAGCAATACAATTCAATACACAGATTTACAGGAGGTTAGAAGGGTTAAATTGCAAGCAAATATAATATCTAGGAAGCAAACTCATGTTGAAAAAGATTGAAATTTTCCTCAGATAGAGACAATATTTAAAGTTTCCAAACTACAAACAGTAGGATTCACTTATTGGTAATAGTAAGATACAGATAAGCAAGTTTAATAATCCTTCACAGCCAGTCAAAGACCAGAGGAGGCCACTCTCCTATGAGGCCTCGTGAGGCAGACGCAGCAGCAGGCAAGATCAAGCGCGACCTGCATCACCGCAGAGACGACTTTGACTTGAGTCAAAGTGAACCAGCAAAGAGAAGAACAAGACTGTAACTACAAACGACTGAGTGCCCTCAAACTGGTACCCAGTCTGTTCCCCAAGAAACCTGAGTGCCAAAGTAAGTTCCACAGTACAACAGGCAACTTTCAATATGGACATCATACATGTTTATCGGACATTTTGCACCATTCTGAAGTGTCACATGAATGATTGTTGAAACACTGTTATGTCTGGTTACTGTATTGTTACACAAAAAGTTCACTATGCACCCTGTGATGTTTTGATATATGATGTGTGCCTTTCAACACATTAGGTGTTGTTATAATTGTTAGCTTGCTAAAGTATATAACGAAAGAACAGCTCACTGCATAAAATTATTTGTTTCATGAGTGTAAACCATTTACAAGGTACATCTCACTATAATATAGCACGTATAGGTAGTTTAATAGTTTAATAAGCTCATTTAAAGGGTAATGAGGAGGAGAGAGGAGTAATGGAATTCCTTGTCATTATAACTTGCTCAAATGTGTTAGCAACAGAAACAGCCCAGCGCATGATTATTGATTATTTCACAACATGTAAACAATAATTTGGGTATTTTCTTGAAGGTCTGCAAGTCTGAGAAATAGGTTTCAGATGCCAAATACAATAGGTCGCCCACTTTCAGTGGTCACAGTGTTGGTGTATAAAGTGTGAGGCTTTACAGCCTCAGAGGAGGGAGTGTTGTGAATTATTTTAGAGCATTATAGCCTAAATTGTTATCATTAATTAGTAGAGCAATGGTGGTCTCCATTGTCATCATTTAAAGTGTTATTTTAAAGTGTAAAGTTAGGATCACAGTGTTAAAACTCTATAGTTCTGGGTGTGTGTGCTCCTTTCTGTATCTAACTGCCCAGGCTCAACAGTTGCACGTGTGTATGAGTGAGCAAGCACAGTGGGATAGCAATACAGCATCAAAAACACTTGCAAAGGAAAATGTAGAAGGCAAGGCAGGTTTATTTGTATAGCACATTTCAACAACAAGGTCATTCAAAGTGCTTTACATAAAACATAAAAGCAACAGGGAAATATAAAAAAAGTTTAAAAGCAACATAGGGAAATTGAAATAATACACATTAAAAAATAATAAAAGTTACAGTGCAGTGTACAATCAGGGTTAAAAGAGTTAAATGGAAAATAAAAACAGGCTGAGGGGTTGAGCAAATAATTGAGTTAAAATTATTTAGAAAAGAGAATAAACAGAGAAGTACACTTAATCTACAGGTGCTGGTCATATAATTAGAATATCATCAAAAAGTTGATTTATTTCAGTAATTCCATTCAAAAAGTGAAACTTGGATATTATCTTCATTCATTACACACAGACTGATAGATTTCAAATGTTTATTTCATTTAATTGTGATGATTAAAACTGACATTAGAATATTACTTAAGACCAATACAAAAAGAGGATTTTTAGAAATGTTGGCCAACTGAAAAGTATGAGCATGTACAGCACTCAGTACTTAGTTGGGGCTCCTTTTGCCTGAATTACTGCAGCAATGCGGCGTGGCATGGAGTCCATCAGTCTGTGGCACTGCTCAGGTGTTATGAGAGCCCAGGTTGCTCTGATAGTGGCCTTCAGCTCTTCTGCATTGTTGGGTCTGGCGTATCGCATCTTCCTCTTCACAATACCCCATAGATTTTCTATAGGGTTAAGGTCAGGCCAGTTTGCTGGCCAATAAGAACAGGGATACCATGGTCCTTAAACCAGGTACTGGTAGCTTTGGCACTGTGTGCAGGTGCCAAGTCCTGTTGGAAAATGAAATCTGCATCTCCATAAAGTTGGTCAGCAGCAGGAAGCATGAAGTGCTCTAAAACTTCCTGGTAGACGGCTGCGTTGACCTTGGACCTCAGAAAACACAGTGGACCAACAGCAGCAGATGACATGGCACCCCAAACCATCACTGACTGTGGAAACTTTACACTGGACTTCAAGCAACGTGGATTCTGTGCCTCTCCTCTCTTCCTCCAGACTCTGGACCTTGATTTCAAAGGAAATGCAAAATTTACTTTCATCAGAGAACATAACTTTGGACCACTCAGCAGCAGTCCAGTCCTTTTTGTCTTTAGCCCAGGCGAGACGCTTCTGACGCTGTGTCTTGTTCAAGAGTGGCTTGACACAAGGAATGCGACAGCTGAAACCCATGTCTAGCATACGTCTGTGCGTGGTGGTTCTTGAAGCACTGACTCCAGCTGCAGTCACTCTTTGTGAATCTCCCCCACATTTTTGAATGGCTTTTGTTTCACAATCCTCTCCAGGGTGCGGTTATCCCTATTGCTTGTACACTTTTTTCTACCACATCTTTTCCTTCCCTTCGCCTCTCTATTAATGTGCTTGGACACAGAGCTCTGTGAACAGCCAGCCTCTTTAGCAATGACCTTTTGTGTCTTGCCCTCCTTGTGCAAGGTGTCAATGGTCGTCTTTTGGACAGCTGTCAAGTCAGCGGTCTTCCCCATGATTGTGTAGCCTACAGAACTAGACTGAGAGACCATTTAAAGGCCTTTGCAGGTGTTTTGAGTTAATTAGCTGATTAGAGTGTGGCACCAGGTGTCTTCAATATTGAACCTTTTCACAATATTCAATTTTCTGAGATACTGATTTTGGGGTTTTCATTAGTTGTCAGTTATAATCATCAAAATTAAAAGGAATGAACATTTGAAATATATCAGTCTGTGTGGAATGAATGTATACATTATACAAGTTTCACCTTTTGAATAGAATTACTGAAATAAATCAACTTTTTGATGATATTCTAGTGATATGACCTGCACCTGTACTCTCTCTAGCTAGTCTGAAGCAGATTTTGTGAAAATTGTATTACAAAACATACATCAATATAGTCCATCACAGTAAGAATGTCCTTTTTCTAGCACAGAGCACAAACAACACCAGTTTATTCCACAAGAGTCAGGTTATGGATGAAAAAGTATGATCAAGCGGAGGGCATGCAAAGGACACAGAGAGGAGGAGCAGCACAGTCAGAGACTTTCTCACCAAATGCTGATGCACGTGAAAATCTTGGACTTTCCCAGATCCAGGTGCAGTAGGAAAGAGAGCCAAGAGATGATGTGATCCCAAGAAACAGAACTATAAAAGGAGGTGAAAGTCAGTCGTTTCATGGTTTTCATGTCAACTCGGGTCTCTGTTCTGGTAACAGAATGGGGCTCTATTTTGCACCGATCTCTGACTCACTCCGGTGGAACTTTTGTATTCTAATTGGTGTGGTCTGTTTTGTTGTTAATAAAAATGTTGGTAAAAGTTCAAGCTTTCTTATCTGACCCAAGTCTTGAATTTTTACACGATATTACGCCCACACTTCTGCATTTTGGTTTTAAAACGGAGACCTTTCGCTACGTTTGCACCTCCCGTCCAGACTAAAACGGAGAAGTTTGGAAATGCTGCCGACCCAGTTTCACGTTTCTAAACTCCAGGTAGCGTTTTAGTGAAGACGGGCAAAAACGAAGACTTTAGAAACGATGACGCAGACGCTCACGTTTGACTCTCTGATTGGCTCTTATAAGTCATACAAAGCAGAAACACGATGCTGCTGACAGAGTTTTAGTTTTGGTATTTTTATCAAAATTTTCTGTACCGTGCAAATAACACTTACAGCCTGCACTTACTGTGCATGTTTACTTTGCGACAACTCCCAGTCTGTTTTCCGCCACCACCGCTGCTTTTAACTCCCGTGTTGCATTCAGTAACAGTCCCAGCTTGTTATTGGTCCATGCAAAATAAAAACCTGTTGCGGTTCTTCGTCTGTAGTACTTTATTCTTTCGCCAAATCGCCATCTGCTTCAAGTTTACACTGGCACGTGCATGCCCAGTGTACATGAACGGCCACTAGATGTGCATTTTCAGTCGATTTAATGTAGACGGGCGGTGGGAAAAAGCAAACACTTGTCTTTCTGTGAATTTTATTCAAGTCTTCTGCAGAAGGAATTCAAGGGGACACATACACATCCGAGAGTATCATCCGAGTGAGCTGCAGCGTAACAGGTCATGCAGCTTTTATCTTAGTCTCAGGGTCGGAGTCCTATCTCATCAAAGAAACATGGTGTCTTTCAGTGTTCCCTAGGGGACACTCAATCTGGATCTATAGAAAGACACCCATGTCCAAGGTACATCTGGTGGTTATGTGAGACGTGTTCCAGAACCTAACCCTAAAGTTGACCATGCTGATGTTACACAGTTAAGTGTCTTGGTCATATCCTTAACTTCTCGGCCCACCCTGGGAAACCCTTGAGTGAAGGTTAACAGGGCTCCTAGTGTCTCTGAAACATTTATTGGTCTGGGTTTCACTGGTATGGAGTTCCCCACTCCATGAGGGAGCTGTGCACACGCATAACAGCTCTGATTGGTTACTTTTCTTGTGGTCATCGTGGTTGCATACCATGCATTGTCTTTCAGCCCAGCCGGGCTGTCAGGGAGGACGTGCATCTCCTCCTCTTCGGCCTGGAACTTTCCCTCAGTCAGGCCAAGTTTGTTGTTTTCATGTTTGGAAATGATGACAGTGAGCAGAACAACGCCTCCGTTTTGTCTCGGTCCGTCACCTCTCCAGAGCCATCTGTTGGTTTCAGTGTGCCCGCGGTGAGTGTTTGGGAGATTAGTGGTTCTAGGTGGTCTCAGAGACCTCCACTCCCCTCCCTCCCTAGGAACACAAGGCAGGGGAAAGCTCAGCTCAATCACTGATCTCCATCTTCGCCTGGTTTGAGGCCTTTTGGTTGCTTTGGCACTCGTTTGCAGTGGGTGGCGTGAATCCAAGTTGCTCTTTCAGCCACTTTTACTGCTGTTTCTGTTGTTAGCAGTATCTGAAATGGCCCGGTCCACCTGCGAGCCCTTTCTCCTGAAGTCCTTTCCCACAATCCAGTCCCCTGGCTCCAGATCGTGCAGTTTCTTCTCTGCGGCCTTCGGGATGGTGTTTTTGACCTGCATATGAATTTCAGAAAGCACAGAGGACAAATTAGCACAATATCTCAACATTTCATCCTCACATTGGCTGGTATCAGGGAGTTGTCTTTTTACTGGCCCAATCCCCGTGTTCAATGGTCTGCCAAATAGGACTTCAAAAGGACTGAGACCCCCTCTGCCCCTCATCCGGCTTCTCATGTGCATTAAAACGACTGGCAAAGCTTTTGTCCATGTTAAACCTGTTTCTTCACAGCATTTAACAAGCTTGTTTTTCAATGTGCCATTTTCTTATTCAACTGCACCTCCGCTAGCTGGATGATGAGCACAATGTTGCCTCAGATCAATCCCCATATCCTCCCCTACACTCTTCAGTGCTGCGCTAATGAAAGGTGTGCCGTTATCACTGGAGATCTTAGCTAGGATCGCTCAGCGATGATCTGGCTTATCAAAGCTTTTGCAACTGCTGCTGCATCCTGTTTAGATGTTGAAAATGCCTCTACCCCTTTAGAGAACATATCTACCATGACAACACAATATTTCTTCCCCTGTGACAGTGTCAGTTCAATGAAGTCCATTTGCAGGTGCTCAAATGGTTTGTCTGGGGGTGGGTGTGCCACCTGTGGGATCTGAATCGGCCGCCCCACATTGTTAGTTGCACAAATGATGCAAAATAGTCTCATGCAAAGTTGTTACTGCAAAAACGATTTTTACCAGGAGCTGGATCACGTGATGCTGAGCCGTCCACAAACAACTCCATGTCTGGGTTTGTTAGAGGAGTCTCCTGCAAGTCTGCCCTTAGAGAGCAGGTTTCTGCTATGACTGCAACACAATCATGCGGCTGTCCTTCACCTGGAGTTGGGAGGAGAGTAGCAGGATTCAGTACAGTGCAGTAATGTTAGATATATCAAGCAACACGGTCTTGTATCTCAGCCACCTGGATGTGGAGAGATGAGATGTTTTTTGTTCAAGCAAAATCATCGACAGCATGTGGAACCAGCAATGTCAAGTCTGAATAACCCACAATGTCACGTGATGCCATGGCTGCTTTTTCAGCAGCCGCCACAGCTCTCAGGCAGTTTGGATGAAAAATAAGCTCCAGGTCTCAGTCGTCCCCCATGGTCTTGTAGTGGTACTGAGGTCATGTACCCCCCCTTTTCGTCAACAGTCTGGGTGAAATGTGTGTTACAGTCGAAGTCAAAGCAAAAAAAAGATAAATAAAACTGGTTCAGTTTCTCTGGCACAAACAAAACAAAAAGGAGGAGGTTTAATTGTCGCGCAATCCGGCAACGAATCAGTGTGGCTCATTTATAAAATGGGCGTTTCCGGGGTTTTCCACGGTGGTGAAACCTGCTGAATTCTAGGTTGTCACAAGATCTATATAATGTCTAAATTCTTACGTGTTTCTATTAAATGTTAACAAAGCTAGTAGTCTGAGGAAATCCTATCCCGTTTACAAAAAGCCTTTGTTCAACATTCACACGGTCTGTTAGTGTTTTTTTTCCCCCAGTCGCAATTCATTCACACAAGGCTGTTTGCAATGCCCACTCAAAAAAATGTTTTCATTCGCACTTCATTCATACATCTGTAGTGAACACATTCAGCATTCAACAATACTGTCTAATTACTTGGTAATCACCTGGAGCAGCAACCCCAAGTAAAATAATAAAAAAATAAAATTTTATTTTATCAATTTTATTGCGAGTCCTATGACTCACACAGCCCTACTTTACTGTGGGTCCCAGACCCAAAAGAACTGATGCAACAGCAGGTCCCAGACCTATAAGAAATCCACTGCCCCCCAGTGATTTCTTGACTATAGTACCTTTAACACAAAGCTTTGCCGATTCACACGGCGGCCCCAGGCCTGCCCTGCTGACACGTCTGTCACGCTCACCCTGAGAGGCAGCGAGAATCGTTCCACTGAACAGTCTACTCACCACAAAGAGAGTGTTGCCAGCCACCAGGTTCTTTGTGGATCACAGCGGTGAGGGAGCCTCAGACACTCAGGCGTCAGGCCCTCAACGTCTCACCCGTATTTTGGCCATACGGTTTTTCACCTGCAGCTCCGAGTGTCCGAGTCCTCTCGCGTGTGTGACGAGCCGACAACGCCAAAATTGTGGTGGGAAAAAGCGTATTTAAATAAATCTGAATGAACCTCACCGCTGTGTTCACCACTTGTTACCGTCCGCACTGTGGAAGTTGATGGTCTCCATCTTCTCCATGCTCTCCTCCAGGTCCGTCTCCGTGACAACATGTCGTCTGCAGAGATGTTACTGCAGAAAACAGGTCAGCTTTACTACAACACACACTGAAGTACTGCAGGTTACACACGCTGAAGTACTGCAGGTTACACACGCTGAAGTACTGCAGGTTATACACGCTGAAGTACTGCAGGTTATACACGCTGAAGTACTGCAGGTTACACACGCTGAAGTACTGCAGGTTATACACGCTGAAGTACTGCAGGTTATACACGCTGAAGTACTGCAGGTTATACACGCTGAAGTACTGCAGGTTATACACACTGAAGTACTGCAGGTTATACACGCTGAAGTACTGCAGGTTATACACGCTGAAGTACTGCAGGTTACACACACTGAAGTACTGCAGGTTACACACGCTGAAGTACTGCAGGTTATACACACTGAAGTACTGCAGGTTACACACGCTGAAGTACTGCAGGTTATACACGCTGAAGTACTGCAGGTTATACACGCTGAAGTACTGCAGGTTATACTCCACATGGTATACACAGAAGAATATTAAACACAGTACATCATATCCTGTCCTGGTGAGTCCAGGTCCCTGTAGTATGGGAGTCTGATGTGACTCTGGGTCCTGGTCTTACCTGACTTTGACGTAGTCGGACAGCAGCCAGCGGTAGATGGCCTTGGTGGCGTGAGTCATGAAGGTGCGTCCTTTAAAGCTGGTCTTCTGCAGGAACCAGGGCAGAGCTCCACAGTGATCCAGGTGGAAGCTGAGAGGGAGGGCAACAGTTACTGAGGAGTTTCCAGGTCCACATCAGCCCTGACCTTTATGTTGGTCTGATTTCTCAGCATCATGTCAGGCAAAGCAGTTTGATTAGAAAGCACATTTCATACACAGGTCGAGTCTGTACAGAGAAGGGAAAACAACACACTTGGACATTAAAGTCCACCTGCTAGTACAGCTGAGTGTGTGTATATTAAAGTGTTCTCTGGTTGCTGTGCTGATAAATGTTGGGAACTCACTGGCTGATGAGCAGCAGGTCAATTTCAGCCGGGTCGATCAGGTCGATGTACGGCAGAGCGTCCGTCCCGTCCAGACCAGGATGGATCCCGCAGTCCAGCTGAACCACAACACACACACGTTTTTACACACTGAGGTGACTGAAAGCTGAACGCTGTGCAGCTGATGGGATTAAAAACAGACCATAATCTTTGGTCCCTTGAACTCCAGGATGATGCAGGACCGTCCCACCTCCTGTCCTGCTCCTCTGGACACAAACACACAGAGACAGCATCACTTTCATGTCTAACTGACATCCAGATGTTTCAGGTTTCAGCCTTAAAGACAAAACTCTTCCCCCAAGAACCGTTAACAAACTAAACTCAGCTATCAAACCCAGCAGAACCAATAATAACAGAAGGACCAGCTGATGCATATCTGCCCCCAGAGGAACATCAAGCAGAACTCCATTCAAAAATTAAGCACTTTTAAAACACTTTGTCAGCAAAGGCAAAAATACGTTATTTAATTTAATTAATCAGTTAAATTATTAACTCAGAATTTCTAGAATCCACCAATAAGCATCTGATTTTAATGAATGTTGTTGAAGTTAACGTCAAGTCTCGCGGTTAGATTTCCACGTTGAAAACCTTCTTAAATAAATAATGTTTGGTACATTTGGTCTGCGCCGAAATGAAGCCTTGCCTCTAATGAATAGTTAAGTTTAAATAGCAAGTTAAAAAAGCTTTGGCCTTTGTTGATAAAAGGAAGATCTACTAAATTGGTATTTTTCTGAATGGAGTTTGGTGAGAGAGCAGCAGCCACGGAGGCTAAACCAGGTAAACGTTGTGTTTGAACTCACAGCGGGCGGATGAGCAGTTGGTCACTTTCCTCCGCAGGAACCGTGGCGTCACATTTACGTTTAGATGCCATGTTTACCTGAATAAACTCACAAATCTTCCACAAATACTAAATTAACTCAGAACTTCAGCTATTCCGCGCGTTGCCACAACTTTAACTCACTTCCGGCTCCTGCTGAAATACCTCCGTGTGGTACAACTGCTGGTAACTTTGGTTCCACCTTTGGGAGTGTGTTTTTCTTCTTCTTTTATGGCAGATTGCAACCATGACTTTTAAAGGTGCATACGCCACCTACTGTACCGGAGTATGTTGCATGAACTATGTTTGACACAACTTCATTTCATAAAATAATTAAAATAATATTGAGAGAAAAAACTAAATCCTATTATATATCTCTATATTTTTCAGATAATAATAATAAACCTTCAAGGCTTCACTTCCTTCCTGCCTGACTTATCTTTTGATTTAGCCTTTGTGAGGATCAAACTCAGCAGGAAAAGAAATGTACTTGAGTAACAGAATAAATCAAGACTATTTGTTGAGTTTTTGTCTTCAAACCTTTATTGAAATAAATGAGAAGCTCTGCAGCCATCAGCAGCTACTAGATGCTGCTCCAAGAAAACTTTATTAAAGTGAAAATCAGAGTCAACACAGTTTGTACACAACAAGTTCAGCCCTGAGATCATCTAAGAAAACACATTTCTGACATTAAAGGCACAATCAGTGAGCCAGATGTTAACCAAAGTGAAGCCTCGTCCACCACCAACATTTAAACCACAGGACTGGAAGTTGTCTCCCTCCTACACAGAACACAGAGACACTGAGGAACCATAGAACCAGAATCCCAAACCAGGATAAAGAGGTTCAGTGAATGTGGTGTTGAAGGTGTGGAGGTGGATCAGTGTGTCAGAGGAGACTCTGTAGAAGGACAGAGAGCCAGCAGGACAGTCCACATACACTGTAACTCTACCAGAGGAGGAGGAGGAGGAGGAGGAGGAGGAGGAGGAGAGAGGGAGGACCGTTTTTCTGTTATTGTGCCAGACAGAGTAACGACCATCAGAGCAGCTCAGACTCCAGGACTGATCATTCCATCCAAACACACAGTCATTACTGTCTCCTCTCCTTCTGATTCCTCTGTAACTCACTGATATATCAACTCCTCCTCTCCACTCGACCTCCCAGTAACAGCGACCAGTCAGACCATCTCTACACAGCAGCTGTTCCCAGCAGTAAAATCTCTCTGGATGATCAGGATATGGCTGCTCCCTCTGTCACCCGTGTCACCTTCCTGTTGTTGTCAGACAGTTTGAGGTTTCTGTTTACTGTGTTTGTGTCCAGTGTGAGTTCACAGAGATCTGATGGAGAGAACGAGACACAACACAGCAGCAGTTTATCATCAGACACATCTGAAGGTTTATTCTTTGTTTTCTATAAAGTTTAATGATGCATTTAGTCAGTAATGTTTGAATGAATAAATACAACTATCAACTTTGTATTAAGAGAAACTGACTGTGTGCTGTTTTGTCATCATGAGTCAGATTGAATCCACACTTACACTTCCTCAGACCAGGTTTTAACCTCTGCTCTCCACCATGGTCCACCCTGGAGGAAGAAACACAGTCAGAGTGATTTTCTATCCAACATGAGTCCTAACTGCTGTTCAACATGAAGCAGTGTTCCTCAGTTTGTCAGTGTGACAGAGAAACAGGCTGAAACTCATCTGTGTCAACTGTCTCCAGGATTCTTTCTGTCTGAGAAAAGGACCTGAAGAAGAAGACAACTAATATGAGAGCAGGATGTCAAATATTGTCCTCTGCATGTTGTCCCGCTAAATAAACAGTTTGACCAGCATTCACACATGAACAACTAAACTGTTTCCAGACTGTTCTCAGATCAGATTCAACTTGTATTGAGTAATTTCTGTCAGAAACAGAGGGTCTGAGGACAGAGAGGCCACATGATGTACAGATTGTAAAGCTTTGAGACAAGTTTGTGATTTTGCACTTAATAAAACTGACTTGGGAATTTCATATCAATAAAGGACTGTATTTCACAGAGACAGATGAGGCTAAATGATGAAGTTAACAGAGAATAAAGGCACCGAGAAGGTGTTTCTCTCAGCAGCAAATAATTATATGCATCTAAATGTGCGCATTTGTTTTGCTTTAAATATTTAACAATTGTATTTATAATTAACAAAACACTAGTGTTTACAGTGTTGGACAAACCACTTGGAAAATGTAGTGAGCCAAGCTACCAGTTAACTCTACATTAAATGAAGCTTCACTACACTGAAGCTACAACCAGGAGAAACGTAGCAAGCTCAGCTACAGCAACATGGCAGAAGTCCTTTTTTTGTTTATATTGAACCAACTTCATTCCAGAGTAGTAAAAGAATAAAGACCTGCTCCAAACAGTAACAACGTGAGAGATCTAAATCAGACAAACTCCCCTACTTACTGGGAGAAATGCCCAAATATTACAACAAAATGTATTTCCTCACAAACTGAGAACCAGTGGAAAAACATTGTTACTTTAATAGATGTGCTGCTTGTCAAAGCATGACATTTTCAATGTATGATTTATTTTGAGATTTGATAGATACACAAAAAAGTATTGTCAGCCACTGATTGTGCAAGTTCTCCCATTTAGAAAGATGAGGTCTGTTTTGTCATAGGTACACTTCAACTATGAGACACAAAATGAGGAGAGAAAAAAAAATCCAGGAAATCACATTGTAGGATTTTTAAAGAATTTGTTTGTAAATTATGGTGGAATGTAAGTATTTGGTCAGTACTCAAGGTCAATGTTTCCTGTAAGTCTTCAGCAGGTTTGCACACTGTAGCTGGTATTTTGGCCCATTCCTCCCTGCAGATCTCCTCTAGAGCAGTGATGTTTTGGGGCTGTCGCTGGGCAACACGGACTTTCAACTCCCTCCACAGCTTTTCTATGGGGTTGAGGTCTGGAGACTGGCTAGGCCACTCCAGGACCTTGAAATGCTTTTTAACGGAGCCTGAGCGGCGTGTTTGGGATCATTGTCATGCTGGAAGACCCGGCCACGTTCCATCTTCAACGCTCTCACTGATGGGAGGATTTGGTTTAAAATCTCACGATACATGGCCCCGTTCATTCTTCCTTTTAACACGGATCAGTTTTCCTGTCCCCTTTGCAGAAAAACAGCCCCAAAGCATGAGGTTTCCTCCCCCATGCTTCACAGTAGGTATGGTGATGCAACTCTGCATTCTTCTTCCTCCAAACATGACGAGTTGAGTTTTTACCAAAAAGCTTTATTTTGGTTTCATCTGACCACATGATATTCTCCCAGTCCTCTTCTGGATCATCCATATGCTCTCTGGCAAACTTCAGATGGGCCTGGACATGTACAGGGCGGGACACGCCTGGCGTCCCTCTCGGCGTAGTGTGTTACTGATGGTAGCCTTTGTTACTTTGGTCCCAGCTCTCTGCAGGTCATTCATCAGGTCCCTCCGTGTAGTTCTGGGATTTTTGCTCACCGTTCTCATGATCATTTTGACCCCACGGGATGAGATCTTGCGTGGAGCCCCAGATCGAGGGAGATTATCAATGGTCTTGTACTTCTTCCATTTTCTTACAATTGCTCCCACAGTTGATTTCTTCACACCAACCTGCTTGCCTCTTGTAGATTCACTCTTCCCAGCCTGGTGCAGGTCTACAATTTTCTTCCTGGTGTCCTTCGACAGCTCTTTGGTCTTGGCCATGGTTGAGTTTGGAGTCTGACTGTTTGAGGCTGTGGACACGTGTCTTTTATACAGATAACGAGTTCAAACAGGTGCCATTAATAAAGGTAACGAGTGGAGGACAGAAGAGCTTCTTAAAGAAGAAGTTACAGGTCTGTGGGAGCCAGAAATCTTGCTTGTTTGTGGTGACCAAATACTTATTTTCCATCATAATTTACAAATATATCATTAAAAATCCTACAATGTGATTTCCTGGATTTTTCTTTCTCATTTTGTGTCTCATAGTTGAAGTGTACCTATGATGAAAATTACAGACCTCTCTCATCTTTCTAAGTAGGAGAACTTGCACAATCAGTGGCTGACTAAATACTTTTTGGCCCCACTGTATATATATTATTGTTAACATTTGACTTTCTGCTTTCATTTATTCATTTAGCTGACGCTTTCATCCAAAGAGACTTACAATTGCTATACATGTCAGAGGTTGACGCCTCTGGAGCAACGAAGGGTTAAGTGTCTTGCTCTACATATCAAAGTTTCCTCCTCACTAGAGGAAGAGGTGGTCAGACTGGACCCTGATCCTTTTCACAAGAGCTTTTTGTTCAGGCGACACAATAGAAAGTAAACTCAGTCTCTCGTGTCTTTATTCCCCTGCAGCAAAGTCACAAGGATTTGATGTACGTGATGTGACCGTCATACGAAAGTGCTTTTGTTGGCTACACATACAGGTCTGTGTATGGCAAATCCATTTTCCAGCATATTGATAAGACTCAAGACATTTACAGAAGAGTTTATCAAGATATTGTTTTTCATGGATTATTTATATTTACAGATAAAATGCCACATGAAATAAGGATGATAAGATATTTTAAAAAACCTGTGTGTAAAATGATGATGCTCTAACTGCTTTAAAGGGCGAGGAATATGACTTGATTTGGACTAGCTAACGTTGTGCTGTAGAAAACTTTCAAATGATATATGATTCAATATGGAGAGTTCTTGAAAGACCGGTCAAACTTTTAGTTGGAAAGTGCTAACAAAGATGAGATTTACGCAATCTAAAGATCACAAACTTGGTGTAAAATAGACAAAACATATATTTAGAAATATAAATATATATATATATATATACATATACACTGCTCAAAAAAATAAAGGGAACACTTAAACAACACAATGTAACTCCAAGTCAGTCACACAACCCACACAAGTGGCTCAGGTAGTGCAGCTCATCCAGGATGGCACATCAATGCGAGCTGTAGCAAGAAGGTTTGCTGAGTCTGTCAGCGTAGCGTCCAGAGCACGGAGGCGCTACCAGGAGACAGGCCAGTACATCAGGAGACGTGGAGGAGGCCGTAGGAGGGCAACAACCCAGCAGCAGGACCGCTACCTCCGCCTTTGTGCAAGGAGGAGCAGGAGGAGCACTGCCAGAGCCCTGCAAAATGACCTCCAGCAGGCCACAAATGTGCATGTGT